TTTCTCTAATCCAATTGTTGTGTCTAGGATTTCTAATACTACAGTGAGTAAAGTGGTGAAAGTGGACAACCCTGTGTTGTTCCTGGTTTTAAGAAAAATGCTTTCAGCTTTTCCTTGTTTATTATGCTGTTAGCTGTGGGTTTGCCAATATGGCTTTGATTATGCTAAGTTATATTCTCTCTAGTCCAACTTTTCTGAGAGTTTTTATCATAAATGAATGCTGGATTTTCTCAAATGCATTTTCCCTATTTATATGATCACATGATTTTATCCTTCATTGTATTGATGTGGTAAATTAATTTGCAGATATTGAACCCGCTTGGCATCCTTGAAATAAATCCCACTCGATCATGGTGTACAATCTATTTAAAGCATGGCTGAATTTCATTTGCTAATATTTTCTTGAGAATTTTTGCATCTATGTTCATCATGAATATTGGCCTGATTTTCTTTTTCATGCGACGTGTTTAACTGGTTTTAAAATTAGGACAATACTGGCCTCATTAAAGGAGCTTGGGAGACTTTACTCCTTTTGAATTTTTTTGGAATAGCTCGAGAAGGAGAGGTGTTAGTTCTTCTTAGAATGTTTGTTAAAATTCAACTGTGAATTGACCAATATAGGACTTTTATGTGTTGGGAGTTTTGGGATCATTGATTTGACTTCACGGGTTGTAGTTGATCTGTTCAGATTTTCTGTTTATTCTTGATTCAGTGTTAAAGATTGTATGTTTCTAGGAATTTATCCATTTCTTGCAGATTGTCCGATTCATTGGCGTATAACCGTAGTACTTTCTTATGATCATTGTATTGCTCTGGTGTTGGCTGTCACTTCTCTTTCATTTCTGATTTATCTATTTTGGTCCTCTCTCTTTTTTTGTTGATGAGTCTGGTTAAAAGTATATCAATCTTGTTTATCTTTTCAAAGACCCGGCTCTTGATTTTACTGATCTTTTCTACTCTTTCTTTTAGACTTTATTTCATTTATTTCCACTCTGGTCTTTATTATTTCCTTCCTTCTTCTCACTTTGGGCTTTGTTTCTTGTAATTTTTCTAATTCTTTTAGGTGGAAGGTTAAGACTGTTCTTTTGAGATTTTTCTCATTTCTTGATGTGGGCCCTCATTATTATCAATTTCCCACGTTGTTATTAAGAGCAGTTATGGGACTGCTTGTGCTGTGTCCCATAGACTTGAGGTCACTGTGTGTTCATTTTCATTTGTCTCAAGGCATCTCTGTATTTCTTCCTTGATCTCATTGTGAATCTACTCAGTGTTTTGTAATGTGTTATTTAGTCTCCATGTATTTGTGTCTTTTTCCCTTTTTTTTTTTGTAGTTCGTTTCTGGTTTCATATCATTGTGGTCGAATAAGATGCTTGATGTAATTTCATTCTTCTGAAATGTATCAGCACATGTTTTGTGGTCCCCCATGTGGTCTCTCCTGGAAAATGTTACATGTGCACTTGAAAATAATGTATATTCTTTAATGTATATTTTTTGCTTTGGGGTTAAATGCCACAAATTATCAATTAAATCAGTCTTGTCTAATGTGTCATTTCAGGCTTCTGTATACTGGCTGATTTTCTGTCTGGAAGATCATTGACATCTATCCATTGATGTCCATGGGATGTTAAAGTCCCCCACTCTGACTGTAGTACTCTCAATCTCTCTTTTTATGTCCATCAATATTTGTGTTATATATTTAGGTACTCCTATGTTGGTGCTAAATTTTACAAGGGTTATATCCTGTTGTTGGATTGGTCTCTTTATCACTTTATAATGTTTTTCTTTGTCTTTTAGTATTGCCTTTATTTAAAGTCTATTTTGTCTGGTATAAGTATTTTTACTACAGATTTTAAAAATTGTTTCCCTTTGCATGAAATATCTTTTTCCATCTCTTTACTTTCAGTCTGTGTGTGTATTTTGATCTGAAGTGGGTCTCTTATAGACAGCACATACACGGGTCTTGTTTTCTTACCCATTCAGCTACCCTCTGTCTTTTGATTGTAGCATTTAAGCTATTTACATTGAAGTGAGTATTGATAGGTACACGCTTACTGCTGTTTTGTCATTCATAGTTGTGTTCCTTCTCCCTGTCTTCTTAAAGAAATCCTAATAATTCTTGTAATACTGGGTTGGTGGTGATAAAGTTTTTTAGCCTTTTATTATTAGGAAAGTTCTTTTTGTTCCTCCTTTAATTTTACTGATAGCCAGTTGTTTACAGTAGTCTTGGCTGTAGGTCCTTGCTTTTCATCATTTTCAATATTTTGTGCCAGTCTCTCCTGACATAAAAAGTTTATGTTGAGAAATCAGCTGACAGTCTTATGGGAGCTCTCTAGTATGTGACTATCTTTCTTTTGTTGCTTTTAAGATTCTTTGTCTTTAATATTTTATCATTTAATTAGGATGTGTCTTGATGTAGGTCATGTTGGGCTCATCTTATTTGGGAAACTCAGTGCCTCCTGGACTTGTGTGTCTTTTTCCCTTCACCAGGTTAGAAAGGTTTTTAGCCAAATAAGTTTTCAGTTCTTTGCTGTCTCTCTTCTCCTTTTGGTACCCTTCTGCAGCAAATGTTATGTTTGATGCTATCCTAGAGGTTTCTTAAACTATCCTCATTTAAAAAAAAAATCTTTTCTTTCTGTTGCTCTGGATTGGGTATTTTGTTACTTTGTCATCCAAATCACTGTTTTGACCCTCTGCTTTATGTAATATGCTATTGACTTCTTCTAGTATCTCTTCATTTCAATTAGTGTATTCTTCATTTCAGACTTGTTCTTTTTTATTATTTTTATGTCTTTTTTAAGCTTAGTATCTCTTTGTTGAAGTTCTCACTGAGATCACCCCTTCTTCCCCTAAGCTCCTTGAGCATCCTTATAACCAGTGTTTTGAACTCTGGATCTGGTACATTCCTTGCCTCCATTTCATTTCATTTCTTTTCTGGAGATTTCCTCTGTTCTTTCATATGAGACATATTTCTTTCTCTCCCCGTTTTGGCTGTCTCTCCGTGTTTGTTTCTGTGTATTAGGTAGATCTGCCCATTCTCCCAGTCCTAACAGGGTGGCCTTATGGAGCAGCTGTCTTGTGGGACCCAATGGCACAGTCTCCCTGAGCACCTGAGCCAGGCACTCTAGGAGTGTCCTTTGTGTGGGTTGCGTGTGCTCTCCTGTTGAACTTTGCCGCTGGCACATCAGTGTGTGGGACTGAACCTCAGGCTGGCTGGCTGTGAGGACTGGCCACAATGACAGCATATGACCTGTTGTGCGGGGGCTGACCCCCACAGAGCGGGACTCGCCCCTGTGGGGTCTGGTGACTGCTGAGATAGCCCTTGGAGTTAATGAGGTGGTGCTGTGTTATGACCTGAAGTCAGCCACTGGTTATATTAGTTCTGGGGCCTCTTGGAAGAGACTCTAGTGCAGGTCATGTCAGGTGTTGCCTGTGACTGGCCTGCGGTATGTGTTAGAAGCTACAAAGCAATCTGCATTTGGCAGCTGCCCAGACGCACGTGGGATGGTCATGTTGCAAACCAAGGCTGGCTGCCCCCAGTACCAGGCCTCTGGTAGGTGAGCAAAAGGCCCAAGGCACCCTGAGACCTGCTGTTGCCTGCTGGCTGTTCATAAGGTTCAGCCACTGAAAGTGTTTTGGGAAAAATGCAAGTTGGATAAGGCAGGGTCTCAGAGGGTCAATAGGGTGGAGTGAGTGGTGGTAACCAGGTTGGTACAGAATCATATTTGACACCAGTGCTGAGCCTAAGACAAGTCAGCAAAAGTCTCAGGTTACACAGAGGGCAGCTGCCAGTCGGTGGGGACCTGTGGACCTTTGTGGTGGGACGAGGTCTCAGGCAGTGTTCAGGGTGGAGCTAGTAGAGTTTTCCAGACTAATGCAGATTCAGATTCTGTCATGTTGGGTGAGGGCTCAACACAGAAATGATGGCAGTTGCCCTGTCAGCCCAAAGGCACAGTTTCTCCCTATAGGTCTCTGGTGCCCCATGACTCGAGTCTCCATCTCTCTGTCCAAGGTGAGTGTCTGCAAGTGAGAGCGTTTGCACTGACCCTTTAAGAGGATGCCCGGGTTTCCAGCAGCCTTCTACCTCACCTGGACATTTCACACCAAATGCTTCAAGGGCTCCTTTTCCCAGCACTGGCGTTCCAGGCTGGGGAGTCCGACACGGGGCTGCGGCTGCTTGCTCCTCGGGGGGGCCCTCTGCAGTTGAGGAAGCCCTCTGATTCTCTACCCTCACACTTGGGTACAGGGCCAGCCTACTTCACGCTACCTTTCCTGTCAGTCTCAACGTGGCTTCTTCTCTATATCCCTGGTGGTAGGACTTCTGCTTAGCTCGTCCCCAGAGGGTTATCCAGGCTGACTGCTCCGTAATTTAGCTGTAGTTTCATGTGGTCACGGAGTGTGGCACCTGCCTGCTCTGTCCTCCTGACCAGAACCTGAATGTTTCCAGTTTTTAACGGTATAAGCAAGGCTACAAATTTTATTTTTTGCTTTTTACCAAAATTTCCATACATTCGTGCTTATATCCATAGGATACATTTTTAGAAGTGTAATACCCAGGTAAAGGAATAAACATTTCTCTAATTTTGACATAACATTACCAAAAAACCCAAGTATGGCTGCTCACTGCTGGGAGGCCAATGTTTGAGACACCGGTGTAGGATGGAAAGGGTTGCTTTTTTCAGGAAGCTGGAAGCCTTGGAGCATGGCAAACTGAAGTCCAAAGACTGTCTCTGAGGTTCTGAACCAAGCGGACGAGTTTTAGAGGGAGGAAGGGTTGGTAACAGCAGCGGCTGCATGCTGGCACCCCCCCACCCCGGAGCCGGTACACAGTTAATCATTTGATCACACAGAGACTTTCTCACATCATGACTACTATTCTTTACCATCAGGCGTGACCTTAGGTCATTCATTACCTCTCTTGAAGTTTCTGGTTCCTCAAAATAAGTTTAGCTGGGAAGTGTTGAAATAACAGGAATTTTAGGGTTAGAACAAAGAGAATGTGTTTGAGAGAAGTGAAGGGTATAAAAGGCAACCACACAGAAAAGAGTTCACTTTTCGGGTTCACTCCTGAAACAAGCCTCTTCTTCAGACCATGAAGCTCAAGGTATTGTTGCATCTCCTGTGGCTTTAGTGGAACTGATTTTCTAGCTAGCCTCTTCCTTTCTCAATTTCCTCAGTTGCCCTCTCTTTTTTAAGAGCTCTCTGCCTCTACTTCAAAAAGTGACATTTTACTGTTTCTCATAGTGTCTGGGCTATCTAATTAACTGCATCTTCTTTTTTTTTAATCAGTATTTTACCAATAATAGATGTGGTTTTGTTGTATAAAATTAAGAAAGTGAATCACTGTAAGTTCCCTGAATGTTAACCTCCTAGCTTTGTGTACGTGGACTTGGGCATTACCAGCTTGCATTTTGAGTTGTCTGTTTGCTGTCCTTTGTCTCCTAGAGAAGACGAGCTTTCTGCAGCAAGAAGCATAACATTTTGGTTTGTTATTCTAGAGACCTTAGCACAATGCCACAGATATTTCTTAAATGACTGCATATTTTACCTTAATGTATACATTATCGCAGTGTTTTACTAAAAGAGATGTAAATACCAGGAGAAAGTCAAGAAGACCAAAATGGTACTTTACAAATGGTTGGGCCCAAGTGTGCAGACGGCGGAGCAGCTGAGTCTGTTGCCTCACGTTCCCTGCCCTAGGGCCCAGGAAGAGGGTGTTTGTTCTTTGCCATATAGGGGTGACTGTCCGGGGATCCCCATACTTCCCCATACTGCCATGACAGCTCTACTTTCACAAATCGCTGGCACAATGCGATCACGTGGATGAACACCACACTCGCCTTCCAGGCCCCACCCACACACGCCCCGGGACTACACGTCTCCACCTTAGGCGCTCCCAGTTCGGGTCTGACCCTGAAGAGACAGATGGACAGACGGACCGCCGTCTCTAACTGCCCCCGCCTGTGGGGTGAGAGGTTGAAAAGGGGCAGTTTTGCTTAGAACAGGGGATCCAGCCAGTACAGAAAGTATTTTCCTTGGAAATCATCAAACAAATTCTCTTTTGTTCTTCCCTTGCCCTGCCCCCAAGGATGTTTATCCAGGTTTTCAGCAGCATGAAAATCAAAGTTATTGTTAGTCTCCATCTTAATCAGAAACTCCTCTGCCAGCAGCCTTTCTCTTCCTAGCAACCTTCACCTCGCTTCCTCCCACTCCTGACGCATTCACCTTTGTGTGTGTGTGTGGGGGGGGTGGGGGCTCTGAAAGAAGTTTGCTGTATCCCTGATTTATTACTGTTACCGGATAGAAATGGGCCTGGAGCCGGTCTGCCTCAGGCCGGCTGGCAGTATCTGTGTTCCTGTCTTTGTGCCCGAAGGATTTCACGAGTCCGCTGGTTTTGAGACTATGTTTATTAAAGGTGGGGACAGTGAAACAAGACAGGGCTTAGCGTAGAAGGAGCAACAGGAGAGCCTCGGCTGGACTCCCTCTCTGGCTCCTAGGAATGTTATAGGGAAGAGGTGAGCCAAGGTAGGGCAGCTGCTAGCTCACTGGGAAGTGAGAGAAAAAGGAAGAAGTCCGGATCAGGGGGTAAGCTGCTGACCATTGCTCCCCTGGGTGCAAATCTCGGGGGGACCCTTAGGGTTGAGGACATGCACACCAGTGAGGGAAGAAGCCGGGGAAGGGGAGGGTGCAGGGGTGCTCCTGGGAAGGAAAGCACATCCCATTCACCTCTGTAACAAAGCTTTAGACCCATAAAAAGTAGCCCACTCTTCTGAAAGTGGCAGGGCTTTCCTGGTTTGATAATCTGGAGACTGAAGATGCAGGACCAGTCAGGGGCCAGGCTGAAGGACTTTCAGCTGGGCACAGGCTGCGTGTTTGGGTCTCTGCCTGGGCACTGAACTCAGTGTCAGAGCATCCCGGCCAGCAGGATCCCCTCACCCAACAGCCCCTGCCCCTGCAGCGAACACTGGAAAACGAGGCATGCGATTCTCAGAAAGACTGAGTGAGTTGTGCAGTGACGCGATAATCAGTGCAGGGAAGGGAAGGGAAGGGAAGGGACCTGACACGCACTCAGTGGTCCTACGTGCTAGGCATGTAGTAAAACACAACCTAAGAGTGGATGTCTTTTTGCTTTTTGTTTTTCAGGCAAATATAAACTATTTTATTTCTCCAAATACTTAGAAAGGCAAATTGGGAAACTAAATGTTTTCTTTTTTAATTAAAATTTTTTTTTATTGTTGACACCATTACGGAGTGGATGTTTTTAACTGGACATGACAGGTGTTCTCTTTTAAGATGTGTAGGAAATACAATCATTGTCTATGCACTGAAGAACCTGACAGTTAAAGGGGTTGCATAGTACTGTGTGGCCTATGAAACGCAGATAATCCTGCAGGTTTTCATTGTCTGATTTGTGGGTTTGAAGCAGAAAGGTCTTCTCCACCAGAATGGCCACGCACACGTCACCTTCAACAAGTTCACAAAGAGTCCATCACCGTTGCCCAAAAGCCTGCTCCTCGTCCCTCCCTTGTTCCCTCCCTTGGCAATGGCACTGCAGTGCCCCCTACCTGGAACCTGAGATACTGCAATAGTCTCACCTGCCCTTGTCTTCCCGTCTCAGATTCCTTCCCTACAGGACTGCCTACAGAGATCTTTCCAAAACACAGTTCTGAGCCTATCCCTACCTTTCTGAAGACAGCGCTATGGCTCCCCAAGTCATAGTCTTTAGCAAAACGTAACATTCCCCACTCGGTCCTAGCTGGCAAATCTGTTCTTGTTCTCACCTCTGACCCCTGCAGGCAGCCCTGCAGCTGGAGTCTGCTGGATGCACTGCCCTACCCCCCACTTCCAAGGCCCGGGCTACACTGCTGCCTCTGCCTTTCACCCTCACCCTCCTCCCCAGCACCTGCACCTGGCTGACTCCCCAAAGTGTTCCTAACCAGTTCAGGTATCGATGCCTCCAGGTATTCACCAACAAAAAGAGCAAGCAGTGGATCTCAAGTGTACTTTTACTGATAACTTTCCTAGCAGCCATGTTGTAAAAAGTAAGAAGAAACCCGAATGAAAACAGAACTCTGTGCTCTGCCTGGAACTCACTGTGAATACCTACCCAGAGACTTCAGGGTATTAAGTGGACACTGGGTTTTACTAGGTTAGCACAACACCCGGCATGTACTTAAAACGGCAGTTTCCAGCGGTCTGAACGCGCCCGAGTATGTCCCCCCCACCCATGACTCTCAGTGCTTCCCTCCGCCCTCACCCCTGCCACACTCTGGCGTCTTCATCTGCTTGCTTGTCCGTGTCCTCAACTTGACCGAGGACAGAAACTGGCCATTGCGAACTTCCCCTTCCCTTTTTCTCACATGAGTAGGTGCTAGGTACACATCAGTTTTTAGAAACTGAAGTTGATTTGATCGACTGGGTTCCCTCCGGGAGAGTAAACTCTTTACGGAAAAGTACCCCAAGTCCTCACACGTCAGGGAAGAAACCTACGCGGAGGGAGTGGGTGCCACTCTGACACTCTGCCCTTTCAAGTCTGTCACAGAAAGCTTCGCCCGAGTGATCCACGGCTTGACAGCGGGCCACCTGACGGATCGGGTTGTTCAGAGGAGCAAGAGGATGATTCTGGACACCCTGGGCGTCGGGCTGCTGGGAACCGGGACAGAAGTGTTTCACAAAGCCAGCGAATACAGTAAAGTAAGAAGCTCGGGTCTAGTTTAGAGGTGAAGCGAGTGTGCACTCGGGGTGCTCGTGAGTGTACCCAGCAGTGTGCGTGTGTTCCATTGCTCTGCCCTTCATTTCAGGTTTGGTGCTTGGTGTAAAAGCATTGTCATACATAGTTTTATGCTATTTCTATGCTCCACTACTCGAGTTTTAATACTCACCCATTGTTTTACTAAGTCACTGTCTTTAAGGCCAGTCTCAACACTAGTAAGGTCTCATCGTTTATTGCTATTAGGGCTGGCAGCACTTCTTATCTGAGAGTCTTAGAAGGAATAGTCCTACCCCCGATGATTCATTCCTGCAAAGCCTTTGAGAGAGTCTGGAGAAAAGGCAGGGCCGGCACTCTGAGCAGAGGGTGACTGTCTGTGGGCGACGCAGCACCACTTTCCAAAGGATGTGCTTGGTACAGTTCACCTTCCCTAGTACATACCCACAAGGAGTGTATGAGAGTTGATTCAGACACCACTCCCTGGAGCACTCACAAATCACGGTCTGGGACTGAGCAGCAGAGCCTGTTGTTCTACAAGGAAGAGATGAATCAATCCAATGGTTAAGGCTTTGGTCTAGCGTAACACAAAGGGTTCAAATAAGGACTATTAATGTGATGCCTTCAAAGATGGAGCGTGACTCTTGAAACGGGGACTGGGCATGCTGCGCTCACACTCTGTCCCCTGTGTCACTGACCGATACTCTCTTGTTCCAGATCTACAGTTCCAACGTATCCAGCACTGTTTGGGGCCAGCCGGCCTTCAGGCTCCCGCCGACGTATGCGGCTTTTGTGAACGGCGTGGCTGTAAGGAGCTTTACATGTCTTTTCAACTGTTAGACGAGTGTAATAATTTTTGGAGTCAAGAAATATCTCAGAAATCACTCTCATTTTCATGTTTTATTGATGACATCATGGAAATTATGGAGGTGAAGTGGCCTGCCTTCTTGCCTATGTAACAATTTCCGTTTTCATGTTGTAATAGTGAATTTATAGTTTCCAAATAGATTGTGGTGTGGAGGAAATAAGACAGGATTTAGATAAAGCCCCCTCCCCCAGGCATCTCATCTTCAGACTTTGAATGCATAAAGCAGAGAACATAAAACCCAATAACCAGACTTAGTTCCTTCTCGGTTCCTTTTTATTTTTGTGGTTGGTACCACATTCTATCCAGTAACCAGCCTTTCATTCATTCATTCAACAAATATTTATTGAGAAACAAATAATGGCTATATGGTATCTATTTTCTGAACCCAAAACTAGCCTTTCTTGTCTGACAATGTTGAAGCTTTTTCCTGTGTGTTAAGGGTAGTACATAGGTATAATTTGGACAAGAATGTGTTGGGATTTCTTGAGATATATTTATGGTTTTGGGATCACTAGCTCAGCATATTGAAAGCCAAGCCCAATGGTGCATCCAGGAATAAATGTCCAGTAAGCAGTGGAAAATGCACCAGCCATATTCAATAAACAAAAAAATCCATTTTTAGATAAACTTCTGGTGGTTACTATTTCATATAAGGAAAAAAGCAAATGGCTGGGATAAAGAGGAATAAAACCTTAGAGCAGAAGATAATGATTTTAAAATATAGCTTAATATATAATCTTGGCTCAATAATTCTTGCAACTTCTCTATAAGTTTAAAATTATTTCATAATAAAAGGTACAAAAACATATGGCCTGATATGGCATAAATGGCATTAAAGTGTTAGTGTGACTTGTTTGAAGGGTGGCGGAGGAAGGGGGGGGAATGAGGAGCAGCCCCCAATTCCATGGCTTTGTTTACAAGGTGAATGTAGCTCTTTTCAGGGGCTGTGGCAGAGAGCTGGTCACCTGAGTGGGACCCAAGCTCCTTGGGGTTCACTAGCTGCTCCCCGAGGTACTGCCCGCTCTTGGCAAAGGGCAGCAGGTCCAGTGCCCAGCTATATGATGAAGAATCACAACCAGGTCATAGGCTTTTCTTTCCAGAGAATCAAGATCTAAAAATCTCCATTGAACTAGATAATTACTAAACCCTTACTGACCTCAAAGCCATTGCATTCTAGGAAATGCATTTTGGGTTTTGGTTGTTGCTTGTGTGTTTGCACAGATTCACTCGATGGATTTTGACGACACCTGGCATCCTGCCACCCACCCTTCCGGAGCTGTCCTTCCCGTCCTCGTGGCCTTATCAGAAGCCCTACCTCCAAGTCCAAAGTTGTCTGGCCTTGACCTACTGCTCGCTTTCAACATTGGGATTGAAGTGCAAGGCCGATTATTGGATTTCTCCAAGGAAGCCAGTGACATACCAAAACGGTATGGAAAATATTTGCCCCATGGAAAGACAGCCATATTCCCCTTCATCTGTCAATCACTACCTCTGTAGTGCTCTCTGATGGAAAGGTTAGCTCAGTTGAACATGGTAATGTTCATGCTAGCAGGTAAGTCAGGTCACCAGCCACATATCAAACCATGTACACAAAGGTGTGTCTTCAGACGTGCTAATGAAGTGTCCTTTGGGTTTAGAAAGCCAATCCGGACCATGAAATACAATGGGGTCTCTCACCCCAGGGTGACTCAGGTCATTCTGGCATCTGTGGGTACCCTGAATACTCCTGATCCCATCAAAGCAGAATCTACTGTGCTAGGTGTTAGCATTCTTCAGACTAATGAGAACATTTGGAATATCCTAAACCTAACTGTTCAACGCATAAAACAAAAGTGGTCAAATGTTGGCTGTATCATATGATTCAATACAATATTTACTTGTCCACTTGGTCCAGTCTGCTAAGAAAAGCGTAAATTTAAATACCAAGTGAACTTTCACAGTTTCTACATGGCCCTTAATTTTTATGGTTATTTACAGGGACTTTCAGCAATCGACCACTTTTGCCTCTCTCAAATAATTGTAAACGTATCACGTATAAAGAATTTACTATATCTCAGGCACTATTGTGAGCATGTGAATTCATTCGAAGTCATAAAACCCTGTAAGATAGGTACTATTATTATCGCCATTTTATGTTAGAGAAAACAGGTACGAAGTTTCCCCAAGATCACTCAGCTAACAAGTGGAAGAGCTGAGATTTGAACCCAGGCAGACAGCATGTCCATTATCTAAGCTCCTGATCACTACAATATCCTGCCTCCTGGTGGTCGAGGATTGTAAATCTCCAACTCTTTGCTTTTCGCTTTTTAGGTTCCACCCCCCTTCAGTGGTAGGAACTTTGGGTAGTGCTGCTGCCGCATCCAAGGTTTTAGGGCTCAGCAAGACGAAGTGCCAGGAGGCCTTGGCCATTGCTGTTTCTCACGCCGGGGCCCCCATGGCAAATGCCGCCACTCAGACCAAGCCCCTTCACATGGGCAATGCTGCCAGGCATGGGATCGAAGCTGTGTTCCTGGCAATGCTGGGTCTCCAAGGGAACAAGCAGGTCTTGGACACGCAGACGGGCTTCGGGGCCTTCTATGCCAACTATTCCCCCAAAGTCCTTCCAAACCTAGATTCTTACACTTGGCTCCTGGACCAGCAGGATGTGGCTTTCAAGAGTTTCCCTTCACACTTAGCCACCCACTGGGTGGCAGACGCAGCTGCATCCGTGAGAAAGCACCTTGTAACAGACAGAGCCGTGCTTCCCAGTGACCACATCGAGAGAATCGTGCTCAGAATTCCAGATGTCCAGTATGTAAACCGGCCTTTCCCAGACTCGGAGCACCAAGCCCGTCACTCCTTCCAGTATGTGGCCTGTGCCATGCTGCTTGATGGCGACATCACCGTCCCATCATTCCACAGATGCCAGATCCACAGGCCACAGGTGAGAGAGTTGCTTTGTAAGGTGGAGCTGGAGCACACCCACGACAACCTGCCCAACTTCAACACATTATACTGCGAGATAAGGGTCACTCTCAAGGATGGAGCCACCTTCACAGAGCGCTCTGATACTTTCTACGGTCACTGGCGGAAGCCACTCAGCCAGAAGGACCTACAGGCCAAGTTCAGAGCCAATGCCACCATGACACTGTCCTGTGATACAGTAGAAAGACTTATAGAGACAGTGGACAACCTGGAAGATCTCGAGGACTGTTCTGTGTTAACCACACTTCTGAAAGGACCCTCCCCATCAGAGATGACTTCACAGTCTATCGAGCACTGAACACTCTCATAACACAGTCGCCCTGAGGTTTACCCTTATCTAAGTGACTTTATATTGAGGGAAATTCAATGATCTGCTCGTGGTCAGCTCAGAAGAGAATGCAGCATGATGGAGAGAGTGCAGACACGGAGCTGGTTGTACCTGGAGAAGGACGCTTGTCCTGCAAATTTGCAAGACTGTCCCAAGTGCCTAGAGCAAGATAACACATATGCAAGAAACACAGAGCAAGGGATTTTGTAAGCATTCGTAAAGCTGAAGTTCAAGTCACCTGTGACTTGCTTATATAATTAATCTTTTCAGAGGACTTTTATGAACGTCATGAACCTCGAGCCGTGGGAGGAAGTTGAACGTGTACGTGTATTTGCTGACAGTGGTGAAGGGGCCTCTGGTCTGCTGTCCGCCAACAGCTGTCTCAGATCATGGCGTATTAGAAGCTCTGCACGGTGAAGGGATGGGTGTTGGGTTTAAAGATAAGGGCTTAGGGGGTTCAAATCCTGCCTCTGCTACATCCTAGATGCCATCCTGCCTTAGTCTCTCTATTTGTGAAAAAGAAGTAAAGAGCAGACTGAAAAACAAAGCAGTTGGCTCCGGGAGCCAAGCTCTTAATGACAACACATCACCTTTCATTTCAAAAAACATGTTTGAGATATAAATAATGAACAAAGAGTCTGAGATATAATGAAGACTGACAACAAAAAACTGTACATGTCTAAAGTTAAATAAATATTTACTATATAAAATAATAAAATACTGCATGGGATTAAAATTACAACATTAGCAGAGAGTTATTATAGTTAGCATGGTCTACATTCCTGGGTTGACCAAGAAAAGGGCAAAGCTATTAACTCTAGACTTTGATTTGAAAGTATACATGTTGATATTTCTAGGGTAACCATTACAAAAAAGCAGTAGAATATATTAATTCTAGGTTAGTAGAGAGAAATACACAATTAGGAAAAAAATAACCCACAGGAGGCAAGAATGGAGGGTAGGAAGAAATATAGAAAAGGCAGAAAAGATATAAAATTATAGAAAAATCCAAATATATCTATAATTACAGAACAGTGAATGGACTAAATGCTCCAGTTTAAAAAGATAGACTGTGAACACATCTTTAAATGTTCCTTAGCTTTGTGAACACCTACTTTACATACAGTTCATCCGTTCACGTTAAGTGTGCAGCTAACTGAGCTCTGGTCCAGCTCTGAGACACTCCACCGCTCCCAGCGTTCTCCACGGCTGCCAGCGGTGAAGTCCCACCCCCTCCCTGCCCTCAACCAGCAGCGACCTGCTTCCTATCTTAATAGTTCTGTCTTTTCCAGACATTTTTTATAGAAAATGGAATCACACAATACATAATCTTATGTGTCTGACTCTTTCACTTAGCAAAACAGTTTTAAGGTTTTTCCACATACATATCAGGGCACTTGATTCCCTTTTCGTTGCTCAGCATTCCATTGAATGGATGTACTGCATTTTGTTTACCCATTCATTAGTTAGAGAATAGCTGAATTGTTTTCCATTTGGGGCTACTACGAATCATGCTCCTATGAGCAATCTGACCCATGTCTTTCTGTGGGAGTCTTTCCATTTCTCTTGGGTGGATACTTAAGACTGGGAATGCTGGGTCATCTGGAAAGTACGTTTAACTTTGTAAATACTCTTTTCCAAAGCTGCTCTATCATGTTGTATTTCCACCATCAATGTCTACGAGTTCTGGTTTCTCCTTATCTTCATCAGTCCTTAGAATTGTCAGTTTTTAGCATTTTAACCAGTCTAGTGAGTGTGTATTAGTGATTCGCTGTGCTTTTAATTTCCATTTCCTTCATGACTAATTCTTGCCCATTTTTGCCAATTGTTTCAATTACCTTTTCTTATTATTGAGTGCTAAGACATATTTATATGTCCTGGGTATAATATCTTTATCAGATATATGCTTCTGCAAATATTGTCTCCCAGTCTGTGACTTGTCTTTTCATGTTTCTGTTGGTCTGTCTGGGGGACAGGAGGTGGGTGGAGGGGGGACAGAGGGTGCAGGGGTTGAATAAAAAGGAAAAAGGACCCATGGACATGGACAAGAGTGTGCTAAAGTTAAAGGGGATAAATGGCAATGGAAAAAATACACTAAAAATTATTTTTAAAAAAAGCAAAAGTTTTAAATTTTGTTTAAGTCCATTTTACCACATTTTTAAAATGTTTACTGTTCCTGATTTTGGTGTCATCAGAAGGCTTTTAAAAATAATCCAGTTATACACTTTATTCAAGATACATAAGGACACAGACAAGTTGAAAGTAAAAAGATGGGGGAAATATGGATAGAGTATTAATAAAAGAAAGCTGGAATGAATATATGTTAATATTAGATTATACCAAAAAGAATTCAAGCAAAAACCTTTGCTAGAAGTAAGTATAATAATAATAATAATAACTTTAAATCATAAGCTAACTAAAATAATTCTAAATCTATGTGCATCTAAATAACATTGAACAGCAAGGAGAAATAGATAAATTTAGCATCATACTGAGAAAATGTCAACATTTCTTTCTCGGTAATTTCAAGGAAAGCACAAATAAATTATATAAGATTCAAACAGTCAACTGTTTTATCTAATGAACACACAGAGAATTCTGCACCCAACCAACTATAGAATTTACAACTGTAAAAGTCTCATAAAACGTTTACAAAAGTGGGCCATATACAAGTGTGAAGCAGGCCTCAGCAACTTTTCAAAGGATTGGACTGCACAGATCACTTTTTCTAATCACAATGCAATTAAAATTTAAAAATCAATGTAAAAAGAGATAATTAGAAGCCTGATATGTTTGGAAATCAACATTGTTGTAAATAAGTCTTGGATCACAGAAGAAATTATAATGAAAATTATAGAACATTCAGAACCAATAGGAAAAATACCTCATATCAAAATTTGTAGGATGTTGCAAAAGCTGTGCTTAGAGATGCGTAGGATTTTCTATTGCTGGCTCTGTGTTACTTGGATTACACTATCTCACAGGATGCAGCGTGTTGATTCTGATGAATTTGTCTGAACACGGCTGATAAAGGAGAAGGAAAAAGAGGTGGTTTCTGTTATGGCCTCGAGATAAAATTTATTTATTAATCTGTCTTAATACATTTCTAAAGTTTCTAGGGGCCAGATCTGAAGGCCATTTATAATACCCTCAAATAACCCCTGTTAAAAACCAGACAACAGACCCAAAGTGGAGTCACTTTTATGCTGAGCCCCATATCACCAAACTGTAATTACAGTTTCACCCCTCCCAGAAATGGAATCTTAAGCCAGTCAATCAGGAATCTCCTGATCAGCACTGGTTAAGTCATCTGCCTGTTAGACTCCCGCTATCGCCCAAAGGAAGACAACTTTGCAATAACCAACCTGCTTGTCCACCAAGCATAATGTCCTGTTCCTGTGCCCCCTTCTGCCTATAAAAGTCTCTTATTTTGTAAGCTCCTTGGAGCTCCTTTTTACCTGCTGGACTGGCTGTTGCTGAAGTATGCTGTAACTCTTAAATTTTTTAACATGCCTTAGCTTATCTTTTAACACCCCTGATGCATGGTCATAGTGACAGCAAGGGTTGGGGAAGACATCCTCTCCTGAAGGACTAAAAGTGCTCAAGGAGACCTTGACATTGGTCCACACCCACTAAGCTAACTGAAGGCAGGGGAACACTGGAAAGAATGTGGGTCTGTGGAAAGTACCTACGCATCCTCCTCACTGGCAGCCCTGCGCACTATCCACCGCCACAGCTCCATGCACAAAAACACAGAGAATGGAGGGAGAGCTTGGCTCCCCACATTCCTTTCTACATGATTCCCTCCTGTGAGGGTCAGAAGCAAGGGCACTTTTGAGCCATGGTGCTAGCAGAGACCTTTTGATGGGATGGGAGAGGTAAAGCTGAGCCCTTTGTCTCTTACTTCCAAGGGGCCCAAGAGCAAGAATCGAGTGGTCCATATAGGTCTGGCCAGACAGCTGGGGACGAAACCCACGCTTAGACTCTGGGACAAAGGCCCAGCTCACACAGAGAGGTTCATGACAGCTTCCTATATTTCTGCATCGTCTGCACATACCCCCAGCCCTCAGTCAAACTGACCTCTGCCCAGACACGGCTTTGCCAGCTCCGAGGAACCCTAGTACTGGCTGTTGTACATGTTTGAGGGATTCCCCGAGACCACATATTCAGGTATTCACTAAAAGAACTCATGGGCTTCGGCACATACTTGTACCTGTGGCTAAGGTTTATTATACTGTAGTGAAGGATGCATGGCAGCATCAACAAGATAAAAAGATACAGGCAGAGTCTGGAGAAATCCATGCGTAAGCTTTTGCTGACCAGTCCTCCCAGCGAGGAGACCCATGATTTGCTCCCTTCCCCAGCACTGAAAATTCAATACAGTGTGTACAGTCATCCTTTGGTATCTGTGGGGATTGATTCTAGAACCTCCCCAGGATACTAAACTCCAAGGATGCTCAGTTCCTTATATAAAATGGCATAGTATTTATATATAACTTGTATTTGCATATAGACTATGTTAGAAATGCATGAGAAATAGAGAGGGGAGGGGCCAGATGATCTGATCCAAGTGTCTTTATTTGATGCTGCGTTTATGGCTTCTCTTGTTCTTCCAGGTGGGTGCTTCAGGGCTCCAGAATGTGAGTAGGGTCAAAGGGTTAGATATAGGTCGGACTGTTCCCCAGTACAGGAGGGTAAGTCTGACCGAGGGCCATTGCAGCTGGCACCAGACGTCTATTGTGTGAGGTCAGGGAGAGTTCAGGCTAAGCCTCAGGCTACCCAGCGAGCCGGGTCAACTGAGCCATAGGCAGTCCGGAGGGTCGGAAACTGGCTGGACTGGGAACTGGCCTGACCCTTTCAGGCCACAGCAGAGCGTGCGTACACATCACTTCATTTGTGTGGATCCAGTGCATGCGTGGTGCATGGCAAACTCAAATTTTGCTTTTCTGGGATTTTTTTTTTCCAAATATTTTTGATCTGCAGTCGGTTGAATCCCCAGGTGCAAAACCCATAGGCACAGAGGGCTGACTGTAAAATGTTTCTGCCCTGGGCAAAGACTTACCACCGATGTCTGCATTAGTGGCTGGTCATACAGACGCGCTCTGCCCAGCGACAATCATATGCCCAGGTCACAGAAGGAAGGCAGGTGTTCAGGATCATTCACACTGTTTGCACAGTGTAGGCGAAGTGAACCATTTTTATGAGCCAGAGAATGGGTCAAGTGCCAAGTTCCCAGATGCCAGGCGAGGACCAAGGTTATAAACAAGCCCTAGTAAAGATAGGAGCCGCTGGCCTGCTCTTGTTATCTCTTTTCTGCACAGCCTTCCCCATCCTGAAATGTCTTCCTTTCCTGTTTGTGCAGCTTTGCAAGGTAGGAAAGTGATACAGAGAAATTGGACTCTGCTTCCACTTTAGCGATGGCCTCTGCTCTGCAGCTCGTGAGCTCTGGAAGCTGTGTGCTCTCTCCCAGTGTTAACTGAAACTGGCGCCCCGGGAGGCTGGCAGGGGCCACAGGCCAGTGAGCTACAGTGATTTTAACCGAGGCACTGAAACTGAGAATATGTGAATCTAAAGGGAATTTAAAATCCATTTTATAACAACTCTACTTGGAAGGCTTTATCCGAAACACATAACACAGTCAGATAAATAAATCCCTTACCTTATCTAGGACCACCTTAAGGTCTGTGATAGCTGATGCAGGGAAACCTTCTCGGGGATTTGAGCATTCATTCAATGTGACAAATGTATATCGAGGGCTTAGTATGTGCCAGCCCATGTTTTTGACCCAGGTGATAGAGCACTGAGCAGAATAAGCAAACCCCTTCCAAATGTGAGCTTACAATGTAGTGTGTGTAGAGAGACAAGCAAATAAGTAAATCCGAGTCGGGAGGTGCTCTGTCCCCATGCTGGGCCTGCTGTGCTTCCGTCACAACCCCCCCATGGGAAGGTGGGCTTGTGGGGGCTGAGCTGGGTTCTCTGGCCAGTGAGCCCAATACCTGTGAGCATTAAGTGGGATTAACAGCTCCCAGTTCTTCCTGAGCCACAATACAACAACTTGTGGCAACCAAAGGCTCGTGGTGCTACACAAATGGAGCTTCCTCGTCAATTCTGGCAAGACTTCCCTCCCCGGAACAAAGAACTTCCCTCCCACAGGGGACCGAAGATAAGGGCAAAGTCACAACAAGATACGCTGCTTTCCTTCCAGCACAGGTGTGCACGTGTGTGCATGCACACGTGTGAACTCTCCTTCCACAAGGAGGTGAACTGCCTGCAACACTGAAGTTCTTTCATCACTCCTTAGTGAAATCGCTCCTCGTTCCTCCCTTCTCCTGCCCACACGAAGAACAACAGCATAGGGATAGTTCCAAAAAATGATCATTGAAAAGACATCCAAAGCAGATATGTGTTTTAGAGCAGCTACTCTGGCTCTTGCTAAACTCTGGGTGGCTACATAGCATGCACATCAAAAGTATGATACACAGTAAGTTTTTTAATTTTTTAAAGACTTTATTCACTCATTTAGAGATGAGAAATGAATGAAGAAAAATGAATAAAGAAAAAGAGAGGGAAACATCAGTGTGTAGTTGCCTTTCACACATCCCCTACCAGGGACATGGCCCACAACCCAGGCATGTGCTCTGACTGGGAATCGCATGGGTAACCCTTTGGTTCATAGACTGGCACTGAATCCACTGAGCCACACCAGCCAGGGCCATAAGAACTTATTAAAAAGTACCATGCTTTACCTAAATCAAAAACCAGAATAAATACATTCACGGAAATGATGAAAATTAGTCTAGTCACCTAGTTCAGTTGTAAATGCAGAAACGAACATTCAATCATCATGTCAGTTACAAACCTCTCCCTGCTTTTTGCTGTAATTATTATAAAAAACAAGTC